TCTCGTGCTTCCTAATGTATGTAATATAGTGAGGTCAAATGATCTCATCCTTGTCCCGTACTTCCAACTGTCGTCCGTTACCTGCTGATCGCATATGAGAACTTGCTAGTCGTGTGCGATGCGTCTGCTCACGTCATGAAGTGGCTTTCCGCCACTACATCGCCCTCCAAGCAGACGTCCATGCACGCGACGTCCTCAGTTTTGAGGAACCTTGGTATTCTTGCGCTTCTTTGCTTGTTTGCGTCCCTGCTTCTTCTTCGTTGATGTTGGTGCAGTACGAAGAGGGCCCTTGTGTTTCAGTAGCCACTGATGCAGGTTACAGTCATTGGTCGCATCGGCGTACTCCAGCACTTTCACTGGAACATCCTCGTACATAGTCTGAATAGGCTCCCAGGAGTCTTCAGTATCCTCCAATCCTTCCCATCTTACGAGTAGCTCGTAATTATGCGATGGGTGCTCGCGATGCTGCTTCAATGATTTGACAGTAAGGTACACGTCCTGGTTTGCAATGTGCTTACAAATCTCCTCGTTGACATCAAAGCTATTATCCACGTACAGCTTCAGACGGGATGCGTGCACGTCACGCGTTATTACACTAATTAGGTGCTCAATCTCGAATGAATTGGTCTTGGTACCAATCACGCCATACGGACCAATCCATTTTACTGACAACTTGTTCACACGTGTCTTCGCTTGGACGCGAGACCATAGGACGTAGTCGCTAACATGGCAGTTCACCGATTTTGCACATCTCTGATTGCTTTTGTTGCGCTGGGTTTGCTTATCTTTTGCACGCTCAATATTATGGTGCATGCCATCAATGCATTGTCCACATCTACACCGTTCTCAACAACCGCTTCATTGCCTCTTAGTATTTTCTGCAGCGGCGTAGTCGCCACTGCACCAAGGAACTCCTCTGCAGGAGCCTAATTCGCCAATGATGTCACGGGACTATGATTGAGGTTTGCCTGAATAATAGGTAGATATGCGCTTCAATTTTCTTGTTGTATCTTGTACTCTAGCAGCGTGACTCGAAGTACTTGCAGAATATCTCTGTTAAGTCGCTCAATACTGCCATTTATCCATGGACAATACGCCAACGTGAAGCTTTCAGTCATCTGAGTATTATGACACAGTTCCTCCAGTAGTTGGTTCTTAAAGTGAGCTGCTATATCACTGATTAGAATCTTCGGCATGCCCTAACGGCTGCTCCAATCAAGAATGGCCTTAGCCGCAATCGCAGCATCCGTGTTCTTGCACTCAATCAGCTCACAGATGTGAGAAAAGTCGTCTTTCATCACTAGAAGGTAGGTTTTGTTGTTGTTGTACTCGCCTATGTAGAGATAACCCATGTGCAACGCTTCATTTCTCTCCTTGGAGCGATACATTTCTCCCCACGGTCTTGGTATTATATCCCCCCCCTCTCTTGACGTGGCAACACAGCAGGCAACTTGTGCAAAATTCGCGCGCATATTGTTCCAAGTTCTCGATTTTGAAGTGCTTTTTGAGGTGGTTGATCATCACCTTCACCCCTCGATGGCCCATTGTTCCGCAATGGGCGATCACCATCAGCCGAATCAAAAATGCTTCCGCATCAGGCGGGATCCATAGTCGGTTCATATCATCTCGCCATCCACCATCCGTATCCTCTTCTAAGCAGGTTGGCCGTGAACTCGTCGTTTCTTTTTGGGCTATATGAATATCATCAGTATTTGGCCAGGCAGAGTCGGGACCAAGCGGCCGAAGCTGAGAAATCCCTTGTACAGCTTCTCCTGTCCATCGTTTCATCGACATCTGCGTATCTACTACGCTGGTACACGCCCAGCGTGAGGCCATGTCGGCCCAGACGTTTTCTTCACCGCTGATGTGTTCAATGGTGTATCGAAGCTCATTGAGTTTGAGACCCCACCGTTGTAATTTGCCGCGAACATGCTTTTTAATTCCATCGCCTGGTGCAAACAGGAAAATAAGATTCCGATGATCGGAGTACAAACGAAATCATTTTGTACGTATCAACATGTAATCCAAATCAGTTGCTGCCTTAATGATCGGGTACGCTTCTTTCTCTGATACACTCCAGTGTTGAGAAGCTCCAGTGAACGTCCCACTCATGCAGTGTACTAGCGTGTGATGTTGCTCAGTAATGTCGACGGATTCCAATCCTGCACGGCAGTGATGATAATGCTCCATCCAAGGTCGCTAGCGTCAGTCATCAAACAGATCTCATCTTGGTCATCGGGGGTCACCAACGTGGCCGAATTAGCGAGAAGTAGCTTTGCTTGGGCAAAACTCGCGCGTTCTTCTTCGGTGAGAGTGATGTACAATCGGGCTGCAACTTGTTTCGTTCGTTTCGTAATTACTAGTATCTCTTGAAGTCGATTCTGCAAGGATGCCACCGTGCGAGCGAAGTCAACTAACGAATTACGCATCCATCCTGCCGCACATACAAACTGTTGCAGCTCGGCAGCCGTTGTCGGTTCGGGCATATCAATCAGAGTTTGTATCATGGCAGGATCGTAGGCTACACCATCGCTGGTAATAATACGACCACACCATTTCGCATTCTGGGTATACAGGCACACTTTGTCGAGACCCAAATACAGACCATACTCAGCTAGAGTACTGTATACTCGATCGAGTACCTCGAGAAATTCATCAATGGTATTACCGTAGATCAGCAAATCGTCCACCCATGCTAGGACATGTGCAGAAGCTTTTTTTTT